CACACACACACACACACACACACACACACACACACACACACACACACACACGCACGCGTGGACATTACGCACTCTCTCGCTCTCGTAGTCCCAAGACCACAAAAAATGAAAGCAACAGACACGAATAACAAACTCACCGTCAGTCGTCAAGGTGCGGTCGTTCGAAAGCCTTGCCGCTGCACAGTTCAAGCCTCAGCGTCCAACATTCAGAATGTAGAGATGGTGTCCTGGGTGAGTGTGTGTGAGTGTGTGTTTGTGTGTGTTTGTGTGTGTGTGTGAGTCTGCACATGTGTTGTTATGTTCAATATACAGAACTCACAACATGACTCAGCCAGACTGTTTCGTCAGACTTCCACCGACTCATCAGGAGGTTGAACCTCGACAGTCCGCACAAGACTCACCACTTTTGCATGTGCGTGTGTGTCTGTGAGTGTGTGTGCGTCCGTGCGTGCGTGTGTGTGCGTGCACATGCGTGTGTGCGTGTGCGGGTGCGTGTGTCCAACGTAGAGCGAAGTCGTAGTCGTTCATAGCAGCGTAGAAGTCAGTCCAGTAGCTTGAGTGTCGAAAACAGGCATCAATCCTAGAGTAGCGTAGCGCAGCGCAGCTCGGTCGAGTAGCTTTGTCGGACAGGCGTCGAGCGTCCAGTATACCTGCCCTCGGGCACGCGCACTGCCCAAAGTATTTTCTTTATGTTGTCGCTGCGCTGGACCAGTAGCAGCGCTGGACCGGTAGCGGCGCAACCCCGGTACCGCGTGCGGTAGGGCCGGTAACACGTTTTGGTACCGGCGCTGGCGCATGGGCCCAGTACAGGCCCTGGCGCGGAGCCGCCGCGACGGTTCAACTTCTAAGAGCAAACGATCAGCAGACGATCGGGACCGTCGCGGAGTGTAAAATCGCAGGGGCCCGATCGTCTGAATGTCACAGGCCGAAAATTAGCGATAGTTATATATGTAGGGACAATCCCAACCTCACCCGAAAAGTGGTTCAGTTTCACAAATACAACAGGTCCCTCCATCAGGGTGTCTTGATTTCGACAACAAACACACTTTCCTCGCATTCCCTCCATTAAGTCCACGCACATCTATATACCTCCCCAAAGTTGAGCCCAACAGCCAGTACGACAAGCCCGTGTGCATACTCTCTTGTCATCATTCCCTCCACACACATCTATATACCTCCCCAAAGTTAGGCCCAACAGCCAGCAGGCTGAGCCCGTATGCATGCCGCCCTGTCAAGTCCACCTTTTTTCAATCTTTCCCAAAACGCACTGGTCAGCCATTGCAGTGGAAACACTGACCGGAAACCGATCAACTGACCAGTGAAAGCAAGGCCATCTCAATCCCCACTTCTCAATGATCCCAACCCCTGCACATCGTTGGAAACGAAAGCATTTCATTCAATGGCTGAAGAAACAGCAGGTGCAATCAGAAGCCTCTGCAGAACAACAAGGCATTACGGAACAGTAATGCGCGAGACCGTGGAGAAGTGTGGAGATAAAAGAGGGTGAATTGCTCACCAGTGACATGTGCTGTATCCCACTGCAGAAAGTCCAGCCAAATGGAATTGAACAGAGTCGTCAAAAACCAACCATATGGACACACAAGCCGACCACAGACGTTAGGAATCACAGACACGTGGATAACATACCGATGGGTCACCTGAGGACCAAAGTTCAATCAGAAAACTCTTCCTGGCAGTCTGTTGGAATATCTGCTTTTCCACTATATCTTTCTCCCCATCTTCCCTTCTTTTAACTCTCAGCACATGATCTCTCCATCAGAGAGTCAGACAAGTTTTTCACACGAACACTTCAATTTTGGCTTGACTCAGCGAGCGGCTTAGAATAATTTTGTTCTCAAGCCCATATTCCCTGCAATTAGCATTAGCAGGCTGGACGTGCTTCCCACTCATTGTCACCTTTTCCCTCCAGCAGATATAACCCCAACCAGATGAACAATGTAGCTTACCCAAACGCATATGGACTTCACCAACAAACACCCAGAAAAAAGTAAAAAACACATCGTCAAAAGTTCACAACTACACCTTTCTCGGCCTTTGGCTAAGATGTAGTGTGTTGTCTGTTCTGATCAGTTTAGTATCTGATCCAAAACAAAAGAAAGGACAAAAAAGGTTCAAAACTGACACAAGTGAACAACTCAGGTGCACCAACAAGGGTCTTATATCTTGTCATCATTGTGAGAAGGGGTATTACGTAACTACAGTGCAGTCACATTTTCAGTTCTAAATCCACTTAAACACTAGTGTTATGATCCTAGCCAATAATAACAATAATGTTGAATGGCTGAACCAGAATGAATATCCAAATCCCTCTTCTACTGCAGGTATCACGTGAGGTCCACCATAGCCATGGCCACCGTTCTTCCTTTTTCCTCCAAGGCCAAGGCTATGGCGGACTACCAGAGCATTGCGCTGCTGTGCAAAGGGCAACACAGCTGCAGCTCTGGCTGCTCCAGCTCAGGCCACCATGCCTGATTCTGCGCTGCTGTGCAAAGGGCAACACAGCTGCAGCTCTGGCTGCTCCAGCTCAGGCCACCATGCCTGATTCTGCCTTGAAGCTTCTTGGTGTAGCGCTACCCCACTGGGCCTTCCTGCTGCAGCACCCACCAAGGTGATGAAGATGCCAACCACCATAGCCAGGTACGTACCTCTGGCGCTCCCCCTTCCTAGTCCTTGTCTTCCTACCCTCTCTGTCCTTGCTCCTTCCCCAGCAGTGCAGCTCTGCTGCTAGAACTGCTCCAGCCAGCACTCCAACCAGTGTATCGCCAAACTTGCACACCGACAACGAGGGAGGAGCACTTCGCTCCTCCTGGAGATATAGCGTCCTGCTTGCCTTTTGGCGAGTGACTTCCTAGGCGCGTGGCCTCCAAGTAACCAGTACTTCCTCCCATTCGGACAGAAACATCATTGCAGACTCTGATATTGCCCGAGCAGGCTCTAGAATCAGACTGGTTGGACTGGTACCCACCTAGACCTAGCCTACAACTACTGGGCCTCTAAAAATGCCGAGTACCCGGCACATCTACCTCTTCCTGGTGTGGTACTGTTACATGCCCAGTTGGGCGATGCACATAATAACCGAGGATCCGCAATGTGATAAAAAGGACTGAATGGACAATGCAGTGCAAGTAGAATCTCAACAAGCAATGTGCATTCCGATACATACAAAATGGTGCTTTTATAGTGCAGGGAAGACTTTAGGTACAAGTCCTGACCTGACCGGGACTGACCTCATTCACGTAGCACAAGATAGCGAAGCAGAATGCTAGAATGCAAATGACTAGCCCAATCAATGTTTAAACGCAGACCAAACATGCATCATGTCCATCACAAGGTGTGATGGAGCCTGGCGCTATACACAGGAAAGCGCCGAAGAGGAGGGGATCAGACGAAGAAGAGTAAGGGGGAGATGGGAAAGTCGTCAACACCAAGTCTCGTTTCAAGTCCCAAATAATCCCTCTTCGATATGCCTGAAGTCCAATGTCGAGTCTGGATCCAAATGTGACCAAGCTCTCTCTCTCTCTCTCTCTCTCTCTCTCTCTCTCTCTCTCTCTCTCTCTCTCTCTCTCTCTCTTAGTCTGCTGATGCAGTGAAGTCGGATAGCGGGAGGGTGAGAAAGAGATGGTGGACTGAGAAGAGGAAGAAGAAGAACTCTCTCTCTCATGTGTCAGGTACTAACCTGTGAAGATGGCGCTGTGCTGCAGGTACCTCGAAGACGAAGCTGGAGCAACGGTGCTGCAGGTAAGCATCCCTGGCCTCCGCCCAATCTCTCTCTCTCTAGTACTACTCTAGCTATGGCGCCCAGCACTGAAGACTACTGCTAACGCTACAAAGCGCCCAGCACTGAAGACTACTGCTAACGCTACAAAGCGCCCAGCGCTGAAGACTACTGCTAGCGCTAATACTACTCCTGCAGCGCTCCTCCAGAGTGCTGCTGCCGAATCCTGAAGACTACCTCCTGCCTCCTGAACTGCACGTGAAGTGCCTAGGAAGTACCTATGAACTACCTCCCAACTACCTGCAGCCTGCAGGGCTGGCCAGTCTTATATAATGCTGGCCCGTCCAGGAGGCTGCTTTTGCCAATGCCAAAACGTGCCAGACCCTGGGTTGAAGGCTCAAACAAAGGTTGTATTGAAAATAGGCCAAAAATGGTCTGAGCTAAAACCCTGGTCTGGTGCCTGAGTTTCAGGGCAGGTCGAACTGACGAGGGCCTGAAAATGGCCCTCAGTTTCAGGCTGAAAATACTCAAGGCCGGAAAGGCCCTGATTTAGCCTGAAACGACACAGGGCCTGTAGGCCCTCGTTTTCAGGCTTTCAGGTTGAAACGACACGGGGCCTGTAGGCCCTTGTTTTCAGGCTTTCAGGCTGAAAC